TCCTGAGAACAGCCTAGAGAGGAAGGTCCTGTCACCTCCATCTCCAGGGAGGACACTGCTTAGCAGGCTGGACAGCCAGCCAATGGAGTGGCAGAGAGAGGCTTTGGAGCAAGTTGGGCTGACGGCTGCCCCACCCGCCTTTTCCCCATCTTTGGTGTTTCCTGTCCAGCAATGGGGCAGCCCTGTGTCGGGAGCAGCTGGGAGACCCTGTGTCCTTAGGAAGACAGGGCCTCTTCTGAGCCCCGGTGCTCGGCAGCCACTGTTACTGACTTAACATTCACGGCCCACAGTGCGGCCACACTCCCATCCCTCTGGCCCTTCTGGCCCTGGCCACTGGCCCCATGCGTTCCCTGTGGGAGACTCTTTCCCCTGGGAGTCAGGAAACCCTGGAGCCCGGGTTCTGGGAGGGAGACAAGCTGGTTTGCCCCCACCCCTTGCCCTGAAAGGACTGCACATTGCCGGTGTGGCAGCAGGGGTGAGCTAGCTTAGGAACAGGAGCCCAAGGGGCCGCCCTCTCTGCCCACGCGGGAGGGAGGACAGGCGTGCATGAGAGTCCCAGCTCTGCCACCTGCAGTGCGGACCTGAGCAGGTCCTTCTCTTGTCTGAGCCCAATTTCCTCATCTGCCAAACGTGAGCAGTAACTGCCATGCGGGCGTGCAGGGGTGGCAGGCAGAGCCCAGAGCGTGTGGGCCCAGCACAGGGGGAGCCCCTCAGGGCACGGGGGACCATATTCGCCTGGCTTTGCTCTGTGCCCAGTGTCCGCCTAGCACAGCTTTAGCAGACACAAATGCGAGATGCCCAGTTCAAGTTGAATTTCAGAGAAACAGCAAAGTTTTAGAGTTAGTCTATCCCCTGAAATATGTGGGACGTACTTACACCATATAATTATGCCATATAAATTATGCCATGAAATTCTCCATCATTTCTCTGAAATTCAAATTTAACTGGAGGTCCTATATTCCACGGGGCAACCCTACCTCACGCCCCTAAAAGCAAAAAATGAACTGGTCACAGATGGAATCACGAAACTACGTGTTCATTACACAGAGAACAGAAATGGCATTGGGACGTCCCAGGTCCTGTTCTGCCACCACAGCCACACATGAACCTCTTCAAGACACTAACTAGGACTAAAGCCAGCAGAAGCCCCAAGTTCGCATCCCCTGAGCGGAAGTTTCCCACCCGGATGCGTCTTTGCTGCCATCAAGGTTCTGGAACCCAGTTACTAGAAA